AAAAGTTGATATTAACGTGAGGGATGGCATGAAGAGCCTTAGTTTTATCATTTTCTTCTTAAGACAGGCTCTTGCTATGTTGTTCACACTGGTCTTACTCACTATGTAACCTGGGCTGGCCTTGAATCCATGATCCTCTTTTTTTTGAGACAGGCTGGCCTTAAACTCATTATGTATCCCAGGCTGGCCTTGAACTTGCAATGATTTTCGTGCCTCAGCCTCCTGAGTGCTGTGATTACAGGTGTGCACCACCACACCCAGCTTATATTTTCAAATTGTCACTTTGATTTCATGTTATTAATAGATGGAAATAGTGGCAGAGATATGAATTGATAAATCCCACATAGAAGCATAAGTTAAGCAATGTGAGGATGGCTACAAATATTGGATTGACAGAGACCACATTGAGGCAGCTCTGAGCAGGCTTTAGAATTCATCAGTTGGCTTTCTGTATTAACCTATGAGTCTGTCCCAGGCCTAAGGGATTTGCCGGATGAGCCAATGGCTGGCGTCCAGAAACAGAAATCTCCACATCGACAGTCATGATAGAGGCCTGCAGCAGCCTGTGACACTGTAACGTCTCTGAAGGCAAGATAACACCACAGTGGAGGCACTGACTCTCCCTCAGAATTCCTAGGCAATAACTGCCAACCTTAGAGATAAGATAGTTCTCGTTTAAGCAATGATTTACTGCTCGGGATGTCTTTGTTCTCTCTTCACAAGGCCTCACTCACTTTCACGCCTTTTGCCTCAGCTATTCCCTGCACTTCCCTGCACGTCCCTGATAGGATGTACCCAATAAATAGTGGGAAATTTGGAGAAGTCAGGATCTTGGTCACCAGACCTCTGACCTTCCCAGACCTCCTATACCATATTTTTTTGGTGGGGGGAGGTTCCGGTACCCGGAATCGAACTCACGAACTTGCACTTGCCGGGCAGGTGCTGTGCCACTGAGCTAAATCCCCAGCTCCCCCCCTATACCATATTACTTTGTCTATTATCTTTTATCCTTTACAATACTCTCACCCAGGGGATTAGGGGATGGGTCAACTCCTGATAGGTATAATGATATTGTCATTTACCTTTATTTTTTGAATAACAATTCATTTAGCTAAAAATTCTGGAAGCAGGTCTCTTAGGAATAAGAGAGTAGTAAGTATTATGGAAATTATTAGTGGTACTTGTATCATTTTTGAGATAATGATAACACAGTATTTATATTTACATTAAGATTTATAAATATTGTAATTGTCAACATAATATAAATTAATAGATTGAGAGTTATTATGGATGAGTTGTAAATGAAAGGGCTATTATTCATCCTATGTGGGTAACTGATGAATAGGCTAAGATTTTTATGATTGTGTTTGGCCAACCATTAAGATAGATAGAATTGCTAGTGTTATAATTATAGTTAGGCTAATAGATAATGAGATTTGGAATTGTGTTGAAACTGGTGGTACTTTTTGTCATGTTAATAGAAGTATGTCTGATATAAGTGGGATTTTTTTTTTGGTGTCAGTTTTGACATTCAGAAGTGCCATGGGGCTAAGCCCAGTTTTACTGTTATACCAATAATAATTCATTGACCTGAATACACTTGTGATAAGGGATGAGACAGGAAATTAGGGTATGGCAAAACTGGCTGGGGAAATATGTGTGACCTGTTAATTTCAAAATCCTAGGACAGGTGCACAAAGCAGTTCCCAAAGTCCTACACAAGGACTTTTCAAGAGAACTTGAGCAGGTTTTTGGTATGGCCTTGACCTGATGTCACCCTGAGAAATGGATGATACTGAAAGGATCACCCACATTGAGTTTTTGCCACTATGTTCTCCCTTTCATGGTGGCCACCTTCAGGCTGTAGGGTATACTTCTTTTCCTACTTTTATGTGGCCCAAACTCTACACAGCCTAGTTTTTTTCCTACCGTTAATAAAACTTTGCTACTATTTGTGCTTGTCATGATGAATTCTTTGCTCAGGACAGAGAGAACCTAGAAAATACCTCTAGAATCCCCAAACTCCAGTAACAGAGCTATTATCAGAATAGTAGATGCTGTTGCTTGTGTTAAGAGGTAATTAGTGGCAGCGTCTGTAGAGCGGGGATTTGCTTTATTAGTTAGTATAGTAATAATAGCCAGCATACTTATGTCTAAGCTTCCTCAGATTGTCAGTTAGGGTGAGCTGAGTATGGCAATTATCATGCCCAAGAGTAGGATGCATAAGGTAGTGGTAGAGATTAAAGGATTGATTCCTATGGGAAAGCTGTAAACCAACATTTTAGGTGAAAGGGTCCAATAGCTTATTTACCTGTATTTACTATGAAATGTGGTTTATTAGGTAACATAAAAGTCTTTGGATTCTTAAAAGGAGTTCAAGTCCTATAACTCTAGAATGAAGATGATTTAAAATCTCTTTTCTTTACTCTATCAAATAATTCTTTTGAGACATTTCTTATGTTTGTGGAGGGATACTTGATAAAGGGGCAGGTACTGAGATATAGTGTATACATAGAACTAATGTTAGAGATAAGATATTTTTCATAATAAGTGACTGAGTTGATTATATTGGAATCATGGGTAAGATACTTGAATTTATAAGAATAAAGCAGTTAAGAATCTGAATAATAAGGAGGCTAGGGATTTAGCTCAGTGGCACAGCGCCTGCCTGGCAAGTGCAATGTCATGAGTTTGAGTCCTGTGTTCTCCCTTCCTGTGTTCTCACAGGTACCGGAAAAAAAACAAAACAAAAAAAAGAGTTTGAATAATAAAATTGGTTGTAAAAATTTTCTGATCTGAGGATTATTCTTGCTTTTGATCCTGCTTTTGCTATTATAAGTACTTGTTATTTTAGTAGCCTAGCACAGGGGCGTTGGCAGTTTCTGTAATACTGTTTTCAGAAAAGAGATCCACTGCTCTGTAATTAAGCATTTATATACTTCTTTACTCACCAAGTTGGACTTACCTGAGTTGTTCTTTGGTCTGTCAGCCTCCTCTAAGTTCAGGGGATAAATGTTTCTTCTTCTTTTGGGGAAATTTACATAACATCCAGTCCTCCAGAGTCCTGGAATTACAGGTATGCATCACCAGGCCCAGTTGTTTTTTTTTTTTAAAAGCTGGGTATCAAACTACCACTACCACTGAGCAACACACCAGGTCCTCATTAATAAATTTTCCCATATTTTTACATGTAGAAATGATTCTTTAATTATATTGGACTAAAGGAGCTATACTTTTAAAAATTAACTTCACTTGTTTCTTTTAACATTTTAAAATGTGACTATTTGAGTATTGGCTTGCATTGGCTTGCATTCCATTGCTATTGGGCAGTGCTGGTTTAGTTGGTTAAAATTCTGTTCTGGGACGCATCTGGACTCCGACAATAGCCTTTTTGGTCCCCGTATTCCCATTATGCCCAAGTGGCTGATCCATGGGAAAACACTACTGCAGCGTCCTCACGATGCCTGTTGAAAACACAGGCATCAGTGGCTCTGGCTACCTGGAGAGTGCAGCCCAAACTTCTCATAACGGCTTTCACTACTGTCAGCCATCTGTTCTTTATCCATGAAATAGATCAGAAAAGAATCTGATGTTGAGGAAGGTGGCCTTGTTCCTGTGTGGGTGAGGCACATGGAACAGGCTAGTGTTACTGTCCAAACTGGGCTAATATCTCACGAAGTCAAAGAATGAAATCACGGACAGAGGGGAAATTAAGGGGAGCACGTATTGGAAGTGTAAGAAGAAAGAAAGCTCCCATTTGAGAAGGGTCCCAGTATGGGTCACCAGGTGGGCTGTTTGACTAGTGCCTTTTATGGCTAACAAGATGGGAATTTGCTCAGTGTCTAGGAGTCTCCCGTCACAGGTAACCCTGGGGATTCAAAACAGTCAATTAGGGATTGAGCTTTCTAGTGCAAAGTTCAAATGCAAATCAGTCACTCAGCATTTGTAAAGTCCTCAAAACCCAGCTCGGGAGGGGAGGTTTACTTGGTGCATTCTGTTCTGCCTAAGGAGTTTCTTTCTTGGGTTACAGTCCTAACCGCCAGTCTTTCTCTTAATGCCTATCACCTCCCCCACCACCCCGTGTTTGCTTTTGCATTTCTCAGCTTAGTGCTTTAGAGGCTTGAGTTAGCTTCTAACTAAGCTATGTATGTGCTGGGTTTTTTGTAAGCTGACCAGCACCACTCCATCTTGGGCTCTGTTCCTCCCTAGCTGCCTATATAAGCCGCATAGCTAAACTACTTCTTACTCTAGGATAGGCCTTTTCTCCTTGGTGGGGATTAAGGAAGCACAAACATTTAAAAAAAAAAAAAATACATCCTACCTAGTGACTGGATACCTGGCTACCACTTGTGCCATGTTGATAACTAAGCTAAACCTTTCCTGTTAAAGGAAGACTTCACTTTTCCTCCCCTTCTCAAAGGCAAGGATTCCTACATTTGAGAAATCATGGGTTGGTGTGGAAGGAGGCTGCTAGGACTTGAAGTGTAAGCCTTCAGCCCACAGCCTGCTTGGTTTTGGACTCAGAAGAGTTGGCTTTCAAGGGGGTGGGAGCTGTGGAATTCTCTTCCTTTGTACCTGTCCTGGCCAAAGTCACTCACAGCCCTGGAGCCCGGAGTCTCTGCCCTTCTCCCTCACCCTCACCCATGTTGATGAGGACACAGAGATATGTAATGATGGTGTGCAAGGAAAAGTACCAGTCAACAGGTGAATGTGGATTTTTAGAACACATTCTGTATATGTAATGGCAGAGCATGGAGGAGTTAATTAAAAAACATCCTGAGTGAATATGCTTCAAAGAGCCATCAGATAAAGTGTTTTTGCTTTACCTGCAGTAAGAGGACAGTGATTTGCCTGCTGTGGCCCTTCCCAGTGACATGTTGAATTTCCCAAAGACCCGATATGGCCCTGTCTTCTGGGCTAGATGTCTAGGTCATGTGATGCTCTACCAATCCAGTGACTGCAGATGCCCACTATCCAGGAAGAAACACACATATGCCAACTTGGATACATGAGACCTCTTCTTACACCTTTATTTACAGCAAGGCTTGCCACATGGGGGAATTTTTGCCATCAGAGAAGGAGGTGAATGGAGCAACAGAACATACTCCAGTGGAGGTTCTGGTTTGTGAAGGGCAGGAGGCGATGAACCTTGTAGTGCTGCCTGGCAGTTGTGTCACTTCATTTGGAAGAAGACAGCTGGAATAACGAAGAACATACAGGGGAATCATCCCATGCTTCCAGGAAACTGGCCCAGCAGGGTCTGCCTGCCTGGCTGGAGTCAGAGCTGCTTTTGTCCATATGCGAACAGTCTCTTCTAGTGATACGAAAGTGGTAAGCCTGGCTCTGCCCACTGGGAGACAAGCAGGGGACGGAGAGGGGAGAAACCACAGACATCCTGTTGCTTGCCTTCCCTTGACCATCCTCATAAACCTCTCTCTGCCTAGTGCTCTCCGAGAGGCTCGTGGATAACTTGTAATCACCTCTATCCCACGTAGTCTGAAAAAGCAGGGTGAGGAGTCTCCAAGAGCCTTGCTGTCAGCAGTGGGGGAAGCTGCTTCCCATAACAGCCACATGGATGGGCTCAGACAGCAGGGCAAGGGAATTCTAAGAGCCTTACCAGAAGCTTCGGCGTAGAGGGTAGACCTGTCGCTGCTTTGGGCTTCACAAGCGAGAAACACCTTTCTTCCTTCTGTGCTGGTGATCTTGGCCTCAAGTCTCACCACGGAGCCCAGGGTGACAGGGCTGAAACAGCAGAAAGTGAGAGCGGCTTGTGGGCCGGCTTCTTAGAGGGTTGGGTGTCTTTAAGAAGTGGCCTTGTCCCCGCTAGAGTGGGGTCTCCACGTCCCCCTCCAGGGGCTGAAATGTGAGGGGTAATGGAAGGAAGATGGGGCACAAAGCAAGCCCAGGTGGTGTGGTGTTGTGTTTAATCATTATATGGAAACCACAAATCACTTTGTCAACATTTGGGCCCACCAGCTCCCCACTGTCTGGAAAAAGTCAAACTCCTCTTGTTTTCTAGCTGTCTCCCCACCCAGGAAACATAGGCAGCATTTTGGTAATAAACAGAAGCTCCTACTTCTGGTCACAGTTCTTGCAGGTCCTGAGCAGTCTGTTTTGTGCACAGGAGTGAGCAGAACTCATGGGCAAACTCACTTGCAGTTTGCCTAATATCAAGCAGGGAATCACTCATCTGGGAAGGCTTCCTCTCTTTTCGGCAGAATGGCTCTATTTCTTTCTTTTTTTTTTCTGGTACCAGGAATTGAACTTACAACCTTGCGCTTGCTGGGCAGGCACTGTGCCGCTGAGCTAAATCCCCAGCCCCAGAATGGCTCTATTTCTAAGCCAGCATCCCTTCTGCAATGGTCACTGAGTCAACTTAGCCAAGTACATACCATCCCCGGTTCTGCCATTAAACACCACTCTAGGTGTTGTGAAAGTATTTTGTAGATGACTGTTAACATCTCTGTTGACTTCAAGGAAAGATTAGTTTTTCCAGGCATAATGATGCATGCCTGTAATCCCAGTACTCTGGGAAGCTGAAGCAGGTGATCACAAGTTCAAGTCCAGCCTGAACAATTTAGCAACTTAGCAAGACCCTGTCTCAAAATTAAAAAGGGGGTGTTGGAAGGGTAATGTGGCTCTGTGCAAAGGCCCTGGGTTCTGTCCACAGTACTTAAAAAAAAAAAATCTTTGATAATCTGGGAATCTGGGTATGCTTTATTCAATCCGTTAAAGGCCTGAGGACAAAGCCAGGGCTTTTCCATTAGAGAAAGATTCTACCTCATGCCTGCAGCATCAGCTCCTGCCCAACAGTTTCCACCCTCCCGGCCTCCTTGGAAAGAAGAGGCTGTGTCCTTCTCTTCCCTGTGAGTCCTCTAGAGCCTACTGAGGCAGCAGAGCTTTGTGCAAAAAAAGCAGATCTTGGAATCAGGCAGCAGTTCCTGTGTTTGGTCCTGGTTTGGATACCAGCTACCTCTATAAGTTCCTCACTGCCCTTATTTATCACCTTGGAGTTAACCTCTCAGGACTACTATAAAGAAAAAATGAATATAGAAATGAATATGAAAGTGTTTCCTAAAACAATAACCAAATGTAAGAAATCCAATCCAATCCATTACAGTGTAATCCAGTAAAATACTCACCTGAGTTAAATATGAACAAGCACTTTGGACAGCATTCTCTACAGCAGAGAGGGCCAATAGCTCATCTTTATTCTATGTAGAATATTTTTTATGTTTAAACACAAACCATTTACAACCTTTCTGTCCTTCAGTAAAGAAAGAACATCTAACAAGATCAGGTTGGTTGATATGAAAGTAAAAACAGAAACTCCTTTTGCCATAAAGATTATTATACAAATCGATATTTCCCATCATAACACATGGAATGACTCGAAGCCAGCCTACTTCGAACCTGCACACAGCAAAGAAACAGACCTCTTGAAATTAATGGTCATTGTCCCTGTGAAGACTGCGTTGGCACTGAAGTACGCTGTCATGAAAAATGTGGTGTCTATCATGGTCCCCAGTGCACCACCATGGATAATCCTGCAGGGGAGAAAGGTTAAGAAATTGTCACCGAAGGCCACAGGACCAGGTGCTGGTGAGGGGAGATGCTGAAGGGTTCCCGTGAACCACCATACCAGAGTATGGCCTCCCTCCATGTGGAGCGGAGGAGGGGACAACACAAATGCACAGGGAAGACAAGCAAGGTTGCCTAGTGCAAGTTGTACCTGCCCAGAACCCCAGCCCCAGTCAACCTCAAACTCGGATGAGTTATGTTCCCTCCTGGGTCAATCTTGGGGCCAAGAGAGCTCAGGGGAGATGCCAGGGGCTTTCAGGCAGAAAAGCCTAACTCTGAATCTTACATTGCCGTCCCTGTGACCTCAGTCACAGAACCACTTGGGGCTTCTGTTTCTTCATCTCTCAACTAGGAAAAAGGTTATCTCTCCAAAGAGTTTTTCAGACCATTAAAATTGGGGGTGTAGCTCAGTGGTACATTGCTTGCCTAGTATGTGTGAGACACTGGGTCTAATCACCAATACCATACACATACATGCACACCCTAAAAATCCCCAAAACAAAATGAAATGAAAAGTCACCAAACCCCACCAAAAATTAACATAGCCAAAGTTCTTAGTGGTACAGGATCTGGCACATGGCAACTGAACAAGACTAGTCCATTCTTACTCCCCTGCAGTTTAGGAAGCTGCATATCAGTGAGGAAGAACCCGATGCCAGGCATGGCACATACCTGTAATCCTGGCATCCCTCAGCTCAGGGGCTGAAGCAGGAAGATCATGAGCTCAAGGTCAGCCTGGGCTTACATAGTAAAATCCAGAAGATAGGGAGGGGAGAGAGAGAGAGAGAGAGAGAAGAAAAAGGAGGAGGGAGGGGAGAAGGGGAGGGAAGAGGAGGGAATGGGGGACGAAAGAGAAGGGAAGAGAAGGGAAGGAAAGGGAAGGGGAGAAGACATTCCATAATCACAATAGGCTGGGAATACGCTGAGTAGCTAGAGGAGCTTCCTACCTAGGGAACCAGTGGAACAAGGCACTTGTCCTTGGTACTTCTGTAACTTCTGGAACCTGCAGAAGTAGCCACAGAGCCACTTATGGCCCTCTAGCCCCACATTCTGCTCTTTGGCCAAGGAAAAGCCCATCCAAGCTGACTGCTGGGACAGCCCCCTGAGCCTTACCCAGGCAGCCCCTCCAGGAGGGGCCCCGGCTGGAACAAGCAGACACATTTCCTCTCGGAGCGGTTGTGGAAGATGACATGCTCAAAGCCCAGTCCCTGCACCTCCGTGATCCTGAGAAATAGGCGACTGTCTTCTATCATTTGCACTAGAGAAAAGTGGCATGTCAGTGAGGGGGGCCTCAGGCTGGTGAGCCACCCTCGGTGAGGTACAGATCTCCTAGGCAGAAGGCACTGACCACAGAGGTCCTCAGGAAACCCTCTTCCCTCAGGGTCCCCTCCATCGGTCCCTTCCAGGAGGGCAGGAGATTGGCAGGGTGAGGGTCATGGAGGAAGAAAAACCACCCAGAAATCAGCACGCCCATGTTTCTGTCAACAGACTGAGGAGGACTGATCCTGCAGGCATCCATTTGGGCAGATGAAGGATAAATAGGAGAACACTCTTTAAAATAGACTCATGCCCACGAGTTAGCTATACAGTATGAATCCCGGTGGGCGAGGGGAGGGTTAATGGGCCTTCATTAGAAGCTGTAAAATCCAGTACTTATCAAACATTTTTGCTAAAAATTTCTTATCACAGATTAGGTGGATAAAATTAGAACTCCTCCAGCTGCCTCCCACCCGTGTCTTTTTTCTTCTTTTTACTAATTCATTTTCTATTAGGACATGTTTGTAGTACATAATATTTACATTCACTTTAGGGAACAGGTATACGCACTTAACGTATCTTAATTCTTTTTATTCCCCTTCCTTTACCCTTCTTCCTCCCTCTGTCTCTGTTTTCATTTTATATTTTTAGTTCATGTTTGCAACCCTTAATGATTACATTCACTGTGGGCAGTGAACGCACAAACACAGCGCGTCTCAACCACCCCGTGTCCTTTATACGCCCTCCTCCATTTCCTGCCCTTCTTTCCACCCATTCATTCCGTCACTCAAATTGCCTCTGAAATTGACCACTAGAGGGAGCATGTGTCCTGTCGTCCGCAGATTCTGGCCCCTGTCACGGGTGAAGACTTGAGCCTTAATCGCGGAAACCGCCCTTTCCCGAATCCTCCCCGCTGCGCTCCCGTCTGGTCTGCACAGGGGGTCAGGCGGGATGGGCAGGTATCAGGAGACGCCAGGACTGACCGCAAACAGGAGTGGAGCGAGCCCTGAACCAAGCCTCAGGCGCTCCTGATGGTCCAAACTTGCAGCCTAAGCGGGTGCTGAACTAACTGGACTCCGAGTTCCTTTTCTGGCCTAATTTCACATGAGTCTGGGATCACTGTGTCCCTACTGCCTTGATCCTGACTCCCAGGTAACGCAAGCCACACAGCAAATGGGCTGGGGCACAGAAACCTCTGGAAAATGCACAAACAGGGTGAAGTTTGGCCAACAGTTATATATTATTTGGAGCCCCCCACCCCCCACCTCCACGTTCAAGTTAAGCATGACTGATGTAGGCGGTTTGAACATACCAGGGACAACTTCAGCAATCTTAGCAAGGCTGGCTTCTTTTAAGATCTGCACGGAATGCTTATAACCTGGAAGCCTTGTCCATGACCCATCCGCAGTTTTCTGCATGAGCTCATTGTACAGCTCCACCATGAGGGGGCTCCAGCTGGCATTTGGGAGGGAATAATCCTTTGTATCATATTGGACATATTTGCTGCTTGAGACCTGAAAAGTTGAAGAGGCAACACACTGTGGCCAGCACAATGCCAACTTGACTCACTCACTGGAACCTCCATGGGATGCAGGGGCCTGTTTCCCAAAGGGGGAGCATGCGCAAATGCCCAGAAGTGAGAACAAAATAGATTTGCAAACTGGTCGTGGCCCTGGAGCCTCCGGCTGGCCTACACAGAGGTGGTCTTTCCCTGCCACTTTCCTCTTCCCGCAGCTCCCAGCCGCTCTGTGCCTCTCTGCGCTCTCCCGCATTCTCCAGGCTGCTCGGTGTCTTCCAGACTGTTTGCCTTTGCTGTCTGTATTTCAAGCCTCCATGCGGTCCCATCACACTCAGGAGGCTCCACCAGGGACCCTCTTTTCTGACAGATGAAGAGGGTTCAGTCTAGGTGGCCAGCTCTCCCCATCTCAGAAATTTTGGGGAATTCATCCTATGGCAACACCTTCCTGTACCTTCTCCCTCATTATTGTTTGTGTTCTCTGGTGCCAACCAGCCCTTGCTGGTGCTCTATCTATGTTCCTGGTACATTTATGTTGCTTACTCGCAGTTGCCTGGATATGCCCTTCCCTACCTAAGCAGATGAGAAATACAGATTCTTCCATTATTTATAAATAGATAGGCCCTTATGGGGATGGAGGTGGAGGAAACTCTAACACCTAGGAATTGTTGACAACCCTCACTACCCTCCTTGGGTAGGCTCTTCTTTGGGAATTCAGTAGGTAGATTTTTTTTTTTTTTCTTTTTTTTGGTTTTTCTCCGGTACCGGGAACTGAACTCATGACCTTGCGCTTGCCAGGCAGGCGCTTTTGCCGCTGAGCTAAATCCCCAGCCCCAGTAGGTAGATTTTGAATTCAGTCTCCAAACTTGCTTCTGTGTAATACACTGCACTTTTGCCACTGCTCATATAACTGCTCTGAGAGTTAGTTTTCTAGTCTATAAAATGTAAATAATACCATGCACCCTGCAGATTGCTGCAAGGGCTGCACGGGGCCAGGGGTGGTATATGATTGGACTGGCCCAGGATCTGATCAAAGTAAACATTCCAAGATGTTAATGTCATCTAAGCCCAACAGGAAAAGCTCCCTTCCCCAGGTTGATCCCAAGGAATTCTTTCTTAGCAATGAACATATCAAATACTGCAAGTATGAAAAGGATGACATTCAACTGATGCTACTGATTAGCACTCAATTTGCATACAATTAACTTTTAATTTTGCCTACTTTTGTTGTCAGAAATCTCATCAGAATGTAATTACTGTTTTGCCTTAAGCCTTCACTGCTTAGGTTTTCTTTTCCCAATTCTGCTCACTCTTGGGATGGGTAACCCAACCTCCCCTATTAGAAATGTTCAGCAGGAACTGTAAGGTGGCCATAGATTAGGCAAGAAAGGGAAAGATGGAACATATTGGAGTAAATAAGAGATCAGATACAGGGGGCTGGGGATTTAGCTCAGCGGCAAAGCGCCTGCCTGACAAGCGCAAGGTCGTGAGTTTGGTTCCCGGTACCGGAGGAAAAAAAAAAAAAAAAAAAAAATTTAAGAGATCAGATACATATTAAAATAGAGAAAACAGAGTAAACACTTAGAACAGTGCCTGGAATATAGAAAGCACAACAGCTTTAAGAGCTCTCTCTAAGCCAAGTGAAGAAAGCATCTTTTTAAAAAAGATGTTTGAAGGTAATGCTTTTTAATATTTCAAATATTTTTCTAAATCTCATAAAAATGTATCATCTTAACAGTACTTTGCACATGTAGAATTTCATACCTAAGTTTGATATTATTTTGGCTTATTTATGGCTGCTTACAAGAAGACTCACAGTAATATCCACTCATCTGGGTCTTTTTCTTTGGTAAGGCCTAATGGGACCAGGCTGATGAGCTATTATATACAAGTAACATGGTTTAAGCAAACTCATGGTAATATGAATTATAAGGGTTTTGTTTAATGGCAATGAAACTTAAAAGGATTTCTGCATTTATCCCCTTTGTGGTTTTGGAAGCTTAATATCCTTTTCGGAGGTTAAAGAGTTTGTATAGCTCACACAATCCTGTAAAAATCAGAGCTAACTCCCCTTGAATAAATAAAGTCATTGTAAAGAATTACATTTACAGAGTGAAGGGTTAATACCTAGCATTTCAAATTCAATTTTGGAAGTACTAGTAAGTACTGATCCATAACAATATGCACTAGCTATCTTTTTAACCGTCCATCATTAGCACCAATAACGATTCAACAGAATTACCTTTATTCCCACATTTCAAAACAATTCTTAAATTCTTAGTGAGTTTTAACTATAGTCACAGATCTTAAATATTCACATTGTCTTCTATATAGTACTGACAATAAGTTCACTACTTTTCTGGATATTCTTTACAAAATCTTGTTAAAATTCCTGGTATTATCTCAATTATACAGTAGCACAACTACCTTATATCGTTTCACAAGATAGCTCTATAGAGGTTTCAAGTCTAAAACATCTAAATTACCAAGAACACTACCCTTCCCTCCCTCCATCTTGCCCTCAGCTTAATTCTATACTAGTCCTTGGATGAGAAAGCACCCTTTAAGAGTCCAGACTCAGCTCTGAGTCTCTGTTCTGACCTTGCAAGGCCACCTTGCATTTCCAGGCCTGTTTCCTCGTAGGTCGAGTAGGACAGCAGACAAGTCGATGGCTAAGATCCCTTTCATCCCTGTCATTCTGGAGTCTATGACCAGCCTCCCAGCTGCCCAGCATCTGGCAGTTGATAAGAGTACTCACGGAAAGGGGCCGGACTTGCGCCCACACTGACCTGGGGGGCCAGTGGTAGCCAGCCAGGGTGCGGAGAAGGGGTGCTGCATGTTTGCGCCCCACCAGGGATCTGAGGCCGCTGTGTAACATGAAGCTCCACTGAGCTCCGCCACCTGAATGTCCTCACAAAAGCCAGCCTTCAGTTAGCTCCGGAGCACTACCTGAGGCTCTGCCTTAGCCAATCCAATCTGTTTCCTTAGAAGAGAGAACTCATGCAGCACGTGAGATAGGTGTAGCAGAACCAGAAGGGACGTTAGGCAATCACGAGTTAGAAATTACAAAAGCGTTTGATCTTTAAAGTGTCCAGAGCATTTTTGTTTTGTTAACTTGGTATCTGAAACAATTGAATCAATCTTAGAATGTTTTACTGACCAAGGGTTATTTAGATGACTGAGATTAGGAACTGGTATTAATGTTCAGTTCTTTCCTGAATTGAGAACAGATAGCCCTGAACATCTCATCTAGTTTTTAACTCTGTCTTGAAGAGACCCAGTTCCTTCCTTATTAAATAAAAACCTGTCGTGTGTTAGGGACTGAAAAGCTCTGGGAATGCAGTCACAGCCAGAGTAGATGGGGCTTCTATCCAACAGGTAAAGGCAGCTAGCTTGTTGTGCTTTGTAGTTGGACTCCTATTTAATCCAAAATTTCCATTTGTTCCTAAATAATCCTTCATATATTTTCTCCCTGACTCTAACTCACAAAAAGAATCAAACATATGAGTGAGTTTCCAGGTCTTTTTAGTGTCCTGTAGCCTGGAGCGGCTCTTCAGGTTGTCCTTGACAGACGTGTTCTTAATATGCCACACATGAACTCACAGACACACACAGGAAGGAACGAGCCCCAGTTCCTTCTCTCCCACTGTAGGCAGCTGGCAGTTCTGGCAGCCAGTGAAAGGCAGGTGCGTTAGAATATAACCTCATCACCCTGAGAGTCCCTCCCACATCAGCTAGAGGTAGCTTTATTACTCTCTTCATTTTGCACATAAGGAAACTGTAGTGCAGAATAGTTGAAATAAGTTGACCCAGGTTTCACAGCTAGTAAAAAGCCTCATATGCTTTATATTTATAATATTAATAATAATTAACAGTTATATGTACACAAGGGGGTTTACATGTTGCATGGGATATCAGACAGGACAGACTGCATCAATACCATCATCCCTGTGTTAGCAGTGACTGCCCTGAAGCCCTGGCAGGTGAATTCAGGACAGCTGGTAAGGGAAGAAGCAGGCCCAGGATGAGTGTTGCGACATAACTTTTGAAATATCTCCTCAGGGAAACTTAGCTGATTCAAGACTCCGAAGTACATCTCGCTTCAGAAGAGTTGGCTGCTCTGAGTGATCTTTGCAGGGGTCAGAGAGCGCAAAGTCCTGGCAGCCGATAGTCTGGCAGAAGGTGAGGAGATCCCCTTCTCTGTTCTCACACGGCTGCAGAGCTGGGCCCCTCCTATGCCCAGCATGGTGCCTGTTCCACGGCTGTGCTCAGAGCTGCACCTTCCACAGGCCAGGCATCGGGCTCAGCTGCTCTGAGAAGCACAGAGTGTATGTGATCAAGACGGCGGGCTTGCTGACTGATGCAGGGTAGGGCATGGAGAAAGAACCCATTGCTTTGGAGACACCCAACTCCCCAGTTCCAGTTTGCAGCCTCTAGCTTTTTTTTTTTTTTTTTTTTGGTTTTTCTCCGGTACCGGGAACCAAACTCACGACCTTGCGCTTGCCAGGCAGGCGCTTTTGCCGCTGAGCTAAATCCCCAGCCCCTTGCAGCCTCTAGCTTAACAACAATCATTTTTTTACTCAACAAATTATTTTAATGCCACTTTCTTATTATCACAGCCCCAAACATAAAGGAATAGAATTGATTCCCTCAGTTTACAGTTTCAGATGAGAATGTCCCCATCAGGATTTTGCAGGATATTAAAAGTAAAATAACTTTATGTGACAACAATAAGCACCTTTATGTATTCTTCAATAGGGCTGAGGGCATAGCTCAGTGATAGAGTATATGCTTAGCATTCATGAAGCCCTAGCTTCAACCTCCAGCACCAAAAACAAAACAAAACCCAATAAAGTGAGATAAAGTGGGGTAAATGTCTGGCTAGAAGCAAGTGCCTAAAAATGTGTTTCTTTCTGTTCATTTCCCTATATCTCTCCTACTGTCTTCATTTCAATTCAGCACATTGATTGAGGGCCACTATGAAAGGCAGAGGTGAAATAAAGACACACACACTGAATATTAGCTGAAATGCAAGCACATTTGGAAGCCTTGTTGGATACTATCTCTATTTGGAATGAAGAAAGATTTATTTGCTGTCCAGAAAATAAAGACATCTCTCTAGGGCAGTGGTGGCAAAGCTATGGCACATGTGTTATTGCGTTTTTGTTTTAAGACAAAAGATGTTACTGTAGAGTTGCTGTTTTCTAAACAAAAGCCTCAGCGTTCAGGATAAATTGCAGTGCTGGCACTTTGTGATAAAAAAGTGAGCTTTGGGTTGCAGTTTGGCACACAGTCTCTAAAAGGTTTGCCATCACAGCTCTAAGGCAAATGCTGGGCGGCAGGTTTGCTAGCAGCTGCTCTAAGAGAGGGCTTCAAAGCACAAGTTTTTCAATTACAGTACATACCTGCTTCCTGAACCACTCAGACCTATCTGCATCACCACTTGAAGACTGCCAGCACCTATCAACAGTTTCTGTGATGTTCTGTCAGGTAATTACATTGCAAAAACCTTCTCCAATGTCCAGGTGACCCATCTGGGGACAGTGCACCAAGTCCAAGGGCACAGCACAGTCACAGGCCAATAAGGGTAAAGGATGCAAGAATCCCATTGGCAGTGTCCTCCTGACTTCCTGAGGAGAAGCCCAGCTATGCCTGGGGAGATCCCATCACTCAGTGAAGGTGGCAGGCTGGAGCCGCTGCTCCTGTCCAGTCCTGCCCTGGTGGCTCTGCTCCTTGTTACCATCACCTTCTCTGTGGACACGATCTGTTGCTCCATGTCCGTCGTACTAAAAATGACAAGAAGCTCATGCATGAACAAGTATCAGACAGTCAAGTCCTAACTTGAAGCAGTCTTCAGTGAAACAGAAAATACATTTTTAAATCATCCTTCTGTTTGGGGATGGGGGTGCTGGAAATTGACCTCAGAGCCTCATACGTGGCGAGCACATACCTACCACTTAGCTACATCCCATCCCTAACTTATCCTCTCTGATGGAAAATATTACTTTAATCCCAAGGATGTATTTTCAGAAAACTTTCAGAAAAAGAAGTGCCTTCTCTGATTGATTCCAAAAAGAACTGTGACAGCTGCCTTCCTCATGATTCTTACTGCCTTTGCATTAACATGCCATCCTGAGGCCTATTTTACTGCAAGAAATCAAACTACTCAGGTGAGTTCTGGATCCTGGTACTCCCTCCATGTATTGGGTAAGTTCTTCTCGGGATGAGTTCTGCAATTTGGCTGGTACTTTCTCCATGTCTTTGGGCTCTTGATTCTGGGCCCAGATGCTGCAGGAGCCCAGACATGAGTGGTTAGAGCAGCCAACTAGGGAAGCCATAGTCAACTAACAAAGCTTTCAAGGCCAACTGGGAAGTTTTGGAGCTGACAGATCACCAGTGGGCTCTAGATAATGCTGAGGAGACACTCATGGCCAAAGATCTCTAGCTTGAAAGTCTACACAAAAAGGCATCACACACCTTTAATTTTTGAAGATAGGGATGTCTATGTCAGAAACTCGGAGTCATGCTTAACCTTATAGCTCTTATTGGAGGCTAGAGGCTCACAGCATAAGAAGAAGGATGCATGAGCTGTGTGTGTGCAGAAAAAATACTTTTTTTGGCCTGCATCAGCATTTTGAAACCATAGGGCGCCAGGACTATGTGCTGGTGACTTACAGAACAAGCGTTATTTTTGGAAATGCTTTAAAATTTCCTTCTGATGATTCTAGTAAAAGCAAGAAGAAAGGAAAAACAGCCTACTGATGATCTCTAAAGACTCAGCAAAAGTAAAGTCTTTGGAAGAAGCACTGTCAATTATAGCTGATTATTCTGTGAAGTCAGTCTGACTTCTAACCAAAGTAAACTCCTGTTTACTTGAGATCCAACAACCTGCGTTTTATCTTTGACTTATTAAAATGTTGACTTTCCTTATAAAATAATATATTTTCATTACCGAAGTTAGAAACTATTAGTGAGTAAACTGCATCTTCCTGGACTGTTCATTTTGAACTTAAAAATGTCTGAAAGCAAAGGTGTTAAAACCTTATTCAAATAAATCGTTTTCAGCATGAGTACCCAGGGCCAGGACAGACTCAGCAAACCTTCCCCTAATTCTAGTACTATGTAGAGAAGATCAGTGATGCTCACACACTTCTAGCCACTTGAATGTCTTTAGTATCATCCAAGATATGTTAAATAATGTGGATGTTGACCTGGAGGTGAAAATCTACCGAGTCCAGGGAGCAGCCAGAGGTTATATATAGTATATGCTATGCCACTGAACTAAAGCCCTCATCCTCCAGCTACCCTTGATGAGAGTTTACATATCATTGTAAGGAAGAAAGGAAGGCAATTCCAAGTGTTTCCCAGGAATAATTCTGTGAGGGTGAAATGGTCCAAGAGAAAGGCCAGTGCCCCTCTGTTACCAAGAGCTGAGTATGCTGTGCAAGTTGATTACTGTAATCCTAAGTAAATGACTCTGGGTCTAGCAAATAAAGCAACCTGTTTTCTCTTCCTTTGCACACTTGTGCACATATACAATCTTTTTCCATTCTAAAACCTGTTTGTTCACTCTGTGTGTGTGTGTGTGTGTGTGTGTGTGTGTGTGTGTGTGGTGCTGGAGACAGAACCTAGAATTTTGCTAGGTGCTATGGTTTGGATCTGAAATTTCCCCCCAGAAGCTCCCATGCTCAGAGGTGGGGCTTTGGAAAAGTGAATGGATCATGGGGCGCTGTGCTCATCAGTGCATAACCCACAGCTGTGGATGCTGTTAGGGGGTGGGCCTTGCCGGAAGAGGGGGTCACTTGATGGGGCAGTGAGACCCAGAAGGATATGTCTCCCTCTCTAGCTCCTCTGTCACCCTCTGCTTCCTGGCTGCCTCATGAGCAGCTGTCCTCCACCATGCCCTTCCTGCCTTCGAGCCGGCCGACTCTGGACCAAAACTTCTAAAAACACTGAGCCCAAATCCACCTGTCCTCCTGTAAGCTACAGGTGCCA